GTTTTAATTGTCTAAATCCCTGCATAATCAATACTAGTTGAATGGATGTATATCAAACCATGCTGGGTGCTAATAAAAGTATCGTTTACAGATTTCTTTTAAGAACAATAAAAGGACATTGCTTTTAAATAATGTCCGTAGACCATATTTTTGTTGACATCGGGTAAAATAATAATTTTGCTAAGCGAATATATTGATAATGTTACCAGTATTACTCATCATCATGATGAGTAAGTACATGATTGAGTACCAGTATTACTCATCAAGCAATACTACTTTTATATTAATGAACTAAGGTCGTAAACAAACATATCATATACAATTTTATATACTAATTCATTATAATAAAATTAATTCTCAAAAATATTGTACATAATTCTATTTCTGCAGTTTAAGTGAAAAGTTTTGTTCCTAAATATCTGTTATACATATAATAAACGCTTGTTGAAATATTAATTCTGTGGAATATATATCAATATAACATAAAACGAAATGTAATTAACGAAATATCATCGTAACAACAGCTATTTTAGAAACGTCTATTAGAATATATACTTATTTCACTGAGATTTATGAAAAAAATCCTTTGCCTCCGATACAGATACCGCCACGTTTTAGAAACAGCTGAAAACAAAACAAAATTGAACGAGGAGAGAAAACAAAATTGAACGAGGCAAAAAAATCCCCCCTCGCTCTCCTCACGGGTAGTTTTCAGGCGCTTTTATGAATCGAAAGTAGGTCGAGGCAAAGCGAAGTGGGTCAAGACAACTGGAAATAAATCGAAATGCGTACAAAGTTGGGCGATGAAATGCGACCTTGACATGTTTCGGGTTGTTTCTGGCATACTGTGTATGCTGTTTTATAGTTAAAGATGTGTTTTTATTAAATTAAGAATTTTGATCAACTAAAAATTATACAACGTTTATAAAATATGATCATAAAGTTTGACGATGAAAGGTGTTTGCTTTTTTAACTGTCAATAGCAAAACCATCTTGATCAAAAGACATCATTCATCACTGAACTTAAGTGAGTGATTCTCGTCTTTTCCTACACTATTCTTATCGTTGGCGTCAATGCTCTGGGGTAAGGGGTAGCAAAAGATGAGGACTGAATGAAAACAAATCGAAAGATCTTATTCGGGAATAAACGGTTCTCATTGATATTGTAGAATGTAGAATGTTTAGGAGATGGGTTAATCACCGCGACCTTACAGATCTATTGTGTGTTCCCCTTTCTTGAGTTATAACTCATCGTACAGTTTCAGGGTTTTGATAAAAGCCAGTATCTGAGATGACTCCACAGAGACCAGCTTTCCGTCACCAACATCAGACGTACCAAAATTTATGGCACGAATGGTTGTCGTCCCGGCGCACTCAGTAACGACGTGTTCTAATGTCTCTCCATTTTTCCATTTTCCCGACAGAATTTCCATTCGCCGTTGTTTCAATCTACTGAGATGTTCGTCGAGGAGTCAGTGCCCTGTTAGAAACCCCGTGACAATCTGAAGATTGTTCATATTTAAATCATGGAAAACCTTTGATTTTCCTCGGTTGTTCTGAGAATTTTTTTCGAGTGTCTTAAACTGATGGAGGATTCCCATTCCAGGTTACGGATAAATTCTTCTAGGTTCATGAGTTCCGCGTTCAAGTTTTTGTCCAAGTGGTTTCCACTTGGAAAGCAGAACGGTTCTGGTCTAGTTAGTGGAGTGTTCGTTCTTTTTCTAGCGTTCATTTGCTTCTTCATTGCCTTATATCCTTTCGTGAGCTGGCACCCAGAGTAAGAGGACTATATTTTCTTTGATTAATTTGTTCTGCTTCTCTTGACATTCTTTGACCGACTTCGAATTTATTGATACTGAGTTGATTGCTTTTGTTTAATTTGCTTGACTAAGATTGCCATTTCTTGTTTCCGATAGTTCGTATCCAAGATAAGTTGATAAAAATATATCTATAATATTTTCATTCATAGTTTATAATAATTTGTTTTCTCATATTTTTCCCAAATTTCTATAATTTGCTTTCCTCTAATACCAAAAGTAACATTTTTTTTATTTTCACATTACATTTTATTTAAAATTCTTAAATATTTAAAATAATATATTCTGCATTGTTTTAAAAAAATATAATTAGGACTTACAAGTAAAAAATATCTTTAAATGTCAAAATCTCGAAGAAGAAATGAAATAAATGGTGAAGTTTGTCAGATTTTATTAGTTAATATTATTTCTTGACAAGCTACAGATATAATTTATAACGCTAATTAAATTTGTTCAGTCACTTTTTAATCGTGCTTTATCTCAAAATTAATATAGCAAGGAGCTGTCGGCTGAAACCGAAATTTATGCTGCTTCAAGCAAATTGATTTAAAAGATCTATAAAAACTCATAAAATATAAAAATAAAAGTAGTGAATTATTAATCTTAATATATGTTGCTTGAGTTTAAATTTCAACTATTACTATACAATTTTATTATAACTTTATGTATAGATTTATACAGGGTGGCCCATCGAAAACGTTCCGCAAGACATAACGGCCAGGATATTTTTTTTTTCAAAAAATCCGAAAACACGTCAATTTTGTTTGTCCGAAAACACGTCAATCCGAAAACACGTCAACAACTTTTGCCCCAAAAATGATTGCAAAATCTTCAACCCTCTAAGCGGGGGTGTCATCCCTCAACTTTTTTCAAATTGTGCGTTGAAGTTCTTCTCAATATCGTTAAACTTTTTAACAATTATGGTGTACTCACTTGCAGAAAAAGTGGATATAATCGAACTTTATTTTGAAAAATAATGAATGTGGAAATCGGTTTGCGCAGATATTCAATGAACGCCATCCTGACACACACCTTTATGGCAAAATTGTCCGCGATTTAGTAGAAAAATTTCACGAAACTGGTTCCGTTATGAATAAAAAGAGACAGAGGGAAAATCCTGTAGTAAATGAAGCTATGGAGGTATTCGTATTCGGCCAAGTTGCCATGGATAGTACGCTGAGTCTTGTACTGAGAGTACAAGAAAATTAGCCAATGAGACCTGGATCGGAGTGAATCGTACAAGTGTCCAAACGATATTAAAAAAACACAAGTTCCACCCGTACAAAATTCAGTTGGTACAAGAAGTCAACGAAGACGATTTTGATCGTCGCGGGCTGGTATTTTTGGAAATTCTATTGTGGGTCAGTTTAACGATATTGAGACCGCACCTGATCGTTCAACCTTGTGGCAAGTGAAAACATGCGTAAACATCTAGAAATAATAAGAAAAAATAGTAAATTGGTCGAAGGAATTTATCCTTATCATTTACTCTGATAAATGTTTAAATAAACTTTTCAAATTTCATATTTTCTCAATGACTCGACCGATTTTTAAAAATGAAGGGAAATATAGAGAATTGAAAGCTCTTTTCATTGCGGCGCCACTTGACCCCCTTCCCATTTGAAAAAAGTTGGGGGATGACACCCCCGCTTAGAGGGTTGAAGATTTTGCAATCATTTTTGGGGCAAAAGTTGTCTCCCTCACAAACAAAATTGACCTGTTTTTGGATTTTCTGAAAAAAAAAAAATTACCCTGACCGTTATGCCTTGCGGAACGTTTTCGACGGGCCACCCTGTATATTTAAAGGCGGACTCTCACGACTTGTGTACTTGATAAACATTTATTACTGGCATATATTTGCCATGTCGTGTGAGCGGTTTACTTTTGCGCAATTATTTGTCACTCTTCGCTCCGCGTGACAGTAAAGCTTGTTGAAAAAAATGTTGTTTACAAAGATAGTATAGTTGCCAAGTACGCAATTATTGGCGTACTTGCCAAGTACACGAGTCGTCAAAATCCGCCTTAATATATATTCTATGGTACTAAGGCAAAACCCGATAGTATTTCCATAATAGACCCCGCCCAAAAACCTAGTCCAGCAGTAAAGATATCGTTAAAGCGGTATAGAATGGAATTGGGAACTGCACCAGTTTTTGGCTTCAGTAATTACATGTATCAAAACATTATTGAACTCAATTTTTAAATTTTTAAAATCTATTTTAAAAAATTAATTTAATTATTTTTTTTAAATACAAAAATAAAATAATAAATATAATACATTTAAATAACCCTGTATACATAAAGGGGTTCATAGATTGTCTAGTACATTGCGAAATGCAGCAATGTGCAACATTTATTTTTTATTTAACATTTGAGTATTATACGACAAACATGGTTTTAAGACCTACGCATCTCATTATTTTTTTTAGTTTTCTTTAATTAGGTTTGGGATTAAAATACTTATTATTAATTATTAGTACAATATAAATGATGTGCAAAAATAAATAGTTTATTTTTTGTTTATTTCTCTTTACAATATTCGATTGTCAATTTTTTGGTTAAGATTAATTAAACTCAACTTCTTTTCAAATTGAAACTCGTACTCAGATGGTTTCTGTACTGCCCAGTGTGCGCGATCTAAGTGCGCGTACAGCCAGAAGAAGAACTCCAACTATGCAAACACTAGTGCAGAAATCCGACACTGATTTTTATTTACTTGTGCTATTTCCTCAAAAACGTTACGTGCATCCGAAGAGTGTAGGCAAAAAGAGGTAAGTCGTTTGAGTGCCCTGGTATATTTATTTTTCATTAGTTTCTTTTTTTCCAATTTTCATTCTTTTCATTCAATTCACAAAACCCATCTATATATGTTATTCAACATAATTATTTTTTATAACATTACTACCAACACATAGGTAATTTTTTATAATTTTTTGACTAAACATGAGCAGCATCTTAAATGTTTATATTTCAGGAAATTTTCTTTATAGTGCAATAAATTCACCCAAAATTCTTTGTTTTTAATAGTTGTTATTGTTGCCAGTAAACTATCTGCCAAACTACTCTAAAAAAGAAAAAAAAAATGCACAAGCAAATTTTTCCATCTTTGCCCAACAGCTAGTGATATGTAATTTGTTTGCCAGTGTTTGAGTTTTTTAAAAACGAATAAGTTCTAAAACTCACCGTTAATTTCTGTTTCCTGTCGTCTGATGCTTCTGGTATGGTTTCTTGTAAGCCTTCCACATTTTTCGTCCGAATAAGTTTACTAAATAGCACCAGACCATCTCTGCGGAGTGTTTCGCGATCTTTGGGTATGTTTGGTAAATTTGGTACACCTAGCTTCATTCTGAAACAATATTATTTACTTATGAAATATAATACTTGTTAAATATAAAAAAAATAATTTAAGTTATAGAGTCTGTTTATTTTCATATTTGGTGGCTCACTATAAAACTCAATGTGATAACCACATCAATGTCTTTATTGTATTTACAATAAAAATGACTTCATGTAATTTTTATACTTTATTCTCCAATTTTGTTTATTTTTCAATACATAACAACTAACAACACCATAACAACAAGCTACCCATAATTCTATGCTTCCAGGAAGGAGTTGTCAGCCTAGTTTTTGGCGCTATATTTAAATAATTCTTACAATATTAACGTTTTAATTAATATTTTATATAACCTGGATGTTCCGATAAACTTATATCCCGATTAAAGAGACTTTATGTTTATTAGTATTACATACCACAGTCTTTTACTTACTTAAACTAATACCTTTATAGCTTTTACTTTTCTTAATTTACATGGCAATAAAATATAACTTTTTTTTAGTTCGAATCATGCGGTATCTCCGTTATTAGTAAAGATAGAAGAATGCGGTTTGCACAAACCTGTCCCACTTTTTTGTCAAACGGAAGAATCCGTAAACAACATTTTCATAGCCCTCTCCGTTTCTGAGCTACAGGGTCTTTTTGAAAATTTTGCAATTTGGGGCACCCTCTGTAACTCTGTTATTGTTAAAGATATCGAGAAGGCGAGAACTGTTTATTGTAGAACTTTTTACGTAGAATACAGTGGCGTAGTCCATTATTCTACGAAAAGAATATTTTTAAAGATATCAACTAAAGTTATGTTTTATTAAATTGAATACTCTGTATATTTGTAAATTATACGATCTGGCTTGCCATAAGCTTTTCAAAAATATATATCACTCTATATTTATTTTCACTATTTACTGCAATATTTAAAAGTAATTATTAAAAGATTATATTTATTAGTAGGCCATAATTGATAAAGAAAGAAATTAAAGAATTATTAAAAGTATACTTCTATCTGTCTCTTGTTTTATTTTGGGAGTCACCAATAAATTCTTTATACTCTCTTGATACATAACTCCTGTTAACTCTCTAGCGGTATTTGTAAATTTTGGAAGCCATCGTTCCGGAACTTTTAAATATTCCTTTAGCTAATTTATGTGAAATATACTTTCAGCAAAATGGGGCTCCCTCTCACAACTTTGAAAATAATAGAATTTTAATTTTAATTTGGTTAAATTATTATTTCTCAAATCAATGAATTAGAACCAATGAACCCATATGAGGGCCTCTATGATTCCCGGAATTGTCCGTTCCCGATTTCTGATTTTGGGGTTTTTTGAATTATGAAATATATCGTGGCAATTTCAACAATGTCGAGCCTCTGAAAAATGCTTTAATAATGCAAGCTTATAGATATTTGCAAACCCATCCCGTAATAATAAATTCCGTTATAAAAAAAGGAAAACATATTCAGAGATTCAGTGGTAACAGTTCAAAAGTAAAATATATCAATCCCAAATAAAATGTTAAATGTGTATGACAATTTTAGTAAATACCGTTTTGATTTATGTGTTATTTAACACGGCCTACTAATAAGAAAATGGTATTTTAAATAATGCGGTAAATAGTGAAAATAAATATAAAGTGAGATATTTGTTTTGAGAAGCTCATAGCAAGACGGATCATATGATTTATAAATATATAGGGTGTTTCATTTGAAAAAAAAACTTTAGTTCATATTTTCAAAAATATTTTTTTCGTTGAACTACGCCACTCTATTCTACGTAAAATGTTCTACAAGAATCAGTTTTTACCTTTTCGATATCATTCACAAGAACGGAGATACGGGGCTGTCCTAAATTGCAAAATTTTTGAAAATACTCTGTAGCTCAGAAACGAAGAGAGCTATGCAAATATTGTTTACAGCATCTTCCGTTTGACAAAAAAGTGGGACAGGTTTGTGCACACCGCATCCTCCTATCTTCACTAATAATAGAAATACCGTATGATTTCAACCAAAATTGGACACCCTGTACTTGGAGAATCAAAAATAATAAGAATAATTACTGAACTACCGTATCACGATGTAATATATCAACTGCGTTGTTTTATATGGCTAACGTTTAACATTTTGATAACTAATAGGAAAAAAAACGTATAATAAAATAATAAAATATGCAAAAAACAGTTCATAATTGATTTATATACATTTACTTTGCCAGTGTGTTTTCTATATTGTTTTATAATAATAGGTTATCGATTTTAAATTTGTTCTTTAGGAATGAACTGCATAATTTTCTCATTTACGATTCTCATTTTATTAAAACTTTTAGGAATGTCATCTTTTATTTGTCTATTAATAACTTGTGTTATCCTATGTACTTTTTTTGTACAAACGTGTATGAAACTAATAAAAATAATTCACAGCACATTATTTTTACTAGATTAACATACAGGGTGTTTCAGAAAATATGTACCATCTCTGGTTAGGAGATTTCTCATCTAAAAATAAGACTTATTTTTCATATTAACATAGGTCCAATTCTGCTTTGTTTCGTAACTACAGGGTGTAAAAGTCTTAATAATCTTTAGATTTATTATAATTTTCTTCTTAGTACTTTTAGTGATTTTAATGAAATTTTGAGGGTAAAAGTTATTATAAGTGCTACATATTTTAATGCTAAAAAAGTGACAAAAAATTTATCAGGGACGTGCGTATGAGTTATCACTGAAATATTAAAAAAACATGTGCGCCATTGACTTTTTTCTTTTGATATCAAAATTGTGTAAGTCGTTTAATGCTAATTAAAAGTTATCTCTTGATATTTTGTCCAATTTGGCCTCCTTGATGAAATAAACGCAATTTTATTAATTACAATTAATAAAATTAAAATAAAAATAAAATTATTAAATCACATATTTAGTTAAGTTATAATTAAATATTATTACTATTAGTTATTATTACTAATAGTCCAACATACAGCAATTTCAAATAAAAAAAGGTATTTAAGATAATTACAAAGTTAACCTTAAAAAGTGTCATCAAAACATTCTGTAACTCTAAAACTATGCATTTCCATACCCATGTTTATAGGAACTTTTTTTCAAATTTTTTGATGATGGATCAATGAGTACTTATATAAAACTTTTGCAAGTTAATGATATTAATTTTTTTTAAAGGTTGCTATTAGACTTGGAATTATCTTATTTTTACGTGAAGAATCTCCCCACGAGAGATGGCACATGTTTTTTCGAAACACCCTGTATATTATAAATGTTTTTTAATGTATTGTAAAATAATTTAAAAAGATAATTACACACATTCTAATGAACAACTACTTTGTTGCACTGATATGTAGGAAACAGAAATTAAAATTAGCGGACCCAGTACTGTTTTAGAACCTCTCTAATTGACTTGATTTTCTATTCTAGATTAAAAAAAATATTGTTTACTTTCAAGTCGGCATTAATATTTTTATTTTTTAAGATTAGTTAAGCTTCATTCAGAACCTTGAAATTAGTGGACGAAATTAGTGGTTTCAATTAGCGTAGATATTTGTCCCTCTAATTTCAGTGTAAGTAGTCAGAACGTCAAAACGAGTGGTAGTAATTTTGAAATAGTGGAAAAAGTTAAACATTTGTTTGTATGTTTAAATTATACTTTAAAATTTACTAGTAAATTGCGAGATTATCATCCGTCAAGAGAAATTGATGTTAGAAAATATAAAAAGTTTATTGTTTTATAACCTAATTATTAGGCTCTATATATAATTTTTTTTACCGCAAGCTGTTGCTATTCTATTAATATTAATTATATTTTTTAGACATTGCAAATGATCGTAAATTTTCAAGTATAAAGTATAATTGAAATCACTAATTTATTCCACTAATTTCGAGGTTCTGAATAAAGCTTTACACTTTTGCCGGGTCCTGTGTAATTAATTAATTAGATCTATTTTTTTCTACTTCGACGGAAACGTTTTTACAGTTAAAACAGATAGCGTTCCCTAGAGAGGTAAATTCGTAATGTTCTAATTTTAGATCTAGGCTTCATCTCCTGCATTTACAATAGGACCTCTGGCCGAATTAATTACAAGTGTAATTGCTTTTATTAAATGTTGCCCTTACCTTAGCGAACGTTTTCCTTCAATCTATCTCAATTAAAAGTAAATATTTGATGCTTTTATTATGAGTATCTTTTACTAAGAAACGTTATTAAGTGAAATGATGTGATAATAAATAAAAAATGCTATCATTTTTCTTTATTTAAAATTGTTATGAAAATTCAGTAGTATATTATTTTTATATTTATACTTTCACAAACGTAATATATCCTCTATACAAGGGTGGGCCAAAAAAATCGACTGTTTTTTTCACTTTATATAAACCAAGCCTCAAAGAATTCTCTCCTAGTATGAGCTCTTAATTTAAATAGGAAGTTCTTCCGCCTTTTGGTTTTTTTATTTTTTCCTTATTATTAGAAATAAAAAGTCATATATCGGTATCTAGGATTTGGAAAAAATATCTCGTCTCATGTATTGTTAGTAAGAAATTGAATTCCCTACAAAAAAGTTTTCTTAGAATTTTTTTTTGTAAACCGATAAGTTCGAAAGTTATTATAGGTTGAAGTTTAATTATTTTAAGACAGTTTTCTTTTTTCTTATGAATTTTGTAACTCATGGTTTTGTAGAAAATTCACTGCCCTACAAAAATTGTTTATTATTAGTCAATTAAATTAACGGTTTAAAAGACATTCATCGTCAACTTCAATGCACAATAATTTTAACAGTTTTTGATTAAGAATTCGAACAATTCCAATTAATTTTATGAGCTTCGGGAAAATTTGTACAAATTTGAGTTTCTATGAAGAAATAAATGTTTTAAACTTATGTTAATATGTGTACGGAGCAGAATTTGTCATTCCTGCCGTACAGACATTCTAGAATATGTGATCCTAGTATTAGCTTGTCAAACAAGCAGGTAGTACGTATACTACCTAGTTTAATAGACTGTATTGTCAA